ACACACACACACACACACACACACACACACACACACACACACACACACACACACACACACAGAGAGAGAGAGAGAGACCAGCAGTCCTGCACAGCGGGAGGGGAGGAGGAAAAAGAAAGGCAGCAACTTGTACAGATTGTCTGTAAGTTATAAGGACTTTACATCATTTTGCAGGTATACAGACATTTAGAGCAATCTCACGGATTTTTTCAAGTCTTACGGATATTTTAAAAACTTCATTTTCAAATTTATCTAACATGTCAGAGCCTATAGGATGATTTAAAAAGCAATAAATAACATCAAACAGCCATCTTCCAACCTGTTCTGCCGCTAGAAAGTTGAGTGCAAAAATGCGACTCTCAGCTACTACCAGACCAAGTTTTAGCTCAGTATCAGTAAAACAAACTTATTTACTCCCAGTTATGTGTTTGGTAAAGTTGTTAATATTACAAATGAAAAACTACAGAATCACAGGAGGCAGTAACTACCACATACTCTGCATACCAACGGCTAAAGAACACTAAAGAACACTAAGCTTTGGATGATGTACTCAGTGAAGGAGTTTGCCTTTGAGATGAACTGCTGTTACAGATATGATTTAAAGTCTGATAATTTTCTAAAACGTCTATTTTTTAATCGCAAACAAAGCTTTATCGCTTATTATTTAGAATTTATTGTTGGTGGCGTATCAGACAAAAAACATTTTTCTGAAGGTAAAAACAGTTTATGTAAAAAAAGGGCAACTTTTCAAAACTGCCTGAAGATCATAAATAAAAATACAGCAAATGGAGAAATGTTTTTTTGGAAGAAATTTATTATTTAGTTATTAAATTATTTTAGTTAGTTCTACAGATTTCTTACACCTGAGAAGAGTCATTTAATGTTGAGCCAGCGTTCACATTTAATTTCTCAGTTTTTTGTTACTTCTATGTTTGTTTTATTTATTTGGATCTAAAAACATTCAACTTTCAGGAAATTTGTTAAAGGAGTTTTATATTTATAACTTAAAAATAATTAAAACTTCCTAGTAATTATTTTTTGCTTGCATTAAAATGAATGAGATTTTTTTTTATTTTTAAGGATAGCTCATTTTAATTACAATTTTTATTAATTTAATGTTTCAGCTGCACGTTTGTTCATTTTAACTGTTAGAGAATTTTAGCTACTGCTCAGGTTTTAGCTACTATTGTGCTAATTTAGGGTTTTAGCAACAGATTTGCTAGCTTCAGCTGTTTGCTCCTTACAACTTTTATGCTCATTTTTGACAATTCTTTGGTTGTGCTCAACGTTCACTTTTCACAGGAAAAAAAAAGTTTTCTAGTTTTGTTTGCATTCTGTGCTCAGATTGTGGCAACGCAGCTGGGGGTGTGGAGGACGAGGGCGAGGCGGAGGCCGGGTGGATCGAAGGCGCCGCCATCCTCCTGTCCGTGGTGTGCGTGGTCCTGGTGACGGCCTTCAACGACTGGAGCAAAGAGAAGCAGTTCAGGGGTCTTCAGAGCCGCATCGAGCAGGAGCAGAAGTTCACTGTGATCCGAGGGGGGCAGCTCATCCAGATCAAAGTCTCTGAGATTGTTGTCGGAGACATCGCACAAGTTAAATATGGTGAGGAAACAACCAGAATAAATCTGTTTCGCTGTTACTAATTTTCGTAAGCTTGTCAGAAACAGGTCAAAGGGACTAGGTTTTATCAGAATAATTGGTAAAAGTAATCTCAAAGACAAAGTGGTGGTGTAAAATTAATCTTTTCTACTGAAATGTCTTTAATGATCGTTTGTACATATAAAAAACCTCCAGAAATGTCTGGTTTCTATCAACTTAAGAGTTATTAGCTCATGTGTGTTATAATGTGTTACTTGACACCTCTTTAATCTTTTTATTTTTATAGTAAACTGCATAAAACATGGTCAAGCATAAAATTTGAAATTTTAATCTAAGAATCAAAAACTTGCATTATTTATTATTATAATTATAATTATTATTATTATTATTATTTATGAGGTTGTTTTTATTTTTTCCTTCTTGGGCTGCAGACAGATGATGTAACACCTCTGTTTGGCTGTTCCAGGTGACCTCCTCCCAGCTGATGGGATCCTAATTCAGGGCAACGATCTGAAGATTGATGAAAGCTCCTTGACTGGAGAATCGGACCACGTCAAGAAGAGTCTCAACAAAGACCCCATGCTGCTGTCAGGTGCGCGGCCTCGCTCCACTCCACACCACACCTCAGTCCAGTTCAGCTCAACCTGAGCGTCACATCACCAGGAACTGTACTATGTGTCCTTTACTCTCAGATAAACACACCAGTACAAACACTGTAGGACCAACCATAATACTGAATGAATTTCTGGAAACCGTCTGCAGAAATGTTGGAAGATGCCAATGCTTCTCCTGCAACACTCATCAAAGTTCTTTACTAAAGCCCAGTAGTTATGTGAGCTGATTAAAATACCAGTATATTTATGTATAAATGGAATATAAGGAGAACCTAGATTAAAAGAAGTGTAAATATGTTACCCACTGAACTACCAGTGGTCTTCAATCCTGGTCCTGGACGTCCACTATCCTGCAGGTTTTAGCTGTTCTTTTACTCTGAGACACCTGGTTGGAATGAAGGCGTGAGCAGGCTTCTGTAAAACATGAAATCCAGCTGAAGAGCAGGAAAACAGATAAAACATGCAGGATTGAGGCCTCACAAAATATAAAGGTGATATTTCTAACAGCCATCTTTAGAAGGTCTTTATTTTGTCTACTGCACCCTTTGTCATCAGTTAACAAGAATAACTTAAATTATTATAGACAATTTCCAGGGGCAGAGCCAGAGGGGTGGCTGGGGTGGCGAGTGCCACCTCTTGCACCTGATTGGCCACCCCAGGTGCCGCCCGCAAACAAGGGGGTGAAGATCTCAGATTTTGTATTTGCATTTAGATTTTGTTAGAGGTTGTTCTCTGATGTTACTTTGCTATTTAATTATTTTGGCTGTGCACGTTTAGAAATGGCTGAATTATAACTCTTTGTAAAAATTAGTATTAGCGTTAGTGATTATCTTAATTGGGGATTAGCATTGGTAATCGGCATGTGATCAGTCTGAACTACTCCACAGCAAATTTCATCTCGATAAAGTTCAAAAACTGATGAATTTCAGCCTTTTGAAGTTAGCTGTAGTGGCCATCTTAAACTATTATTAGCATTTAAAATTTGGTAAAGATCGGTTTTGGCTGTTTCTACACAGGGTTCCCACGGGTCCTTGAAATCCTTGAAAGTTTGTGAATTTGAAAAATTAATTTCAAGGCCCTTGAAAGTTCCTGAAAACAGCTAAAATAGCCACCTGTCCTTGAAAGCCCTTGAATCTTTATGATGAAATTTATGATGACCTCTGTCAATATGTGATTATTGTTTTTATTTATTTGTTTGATTCAGTTTGTCAGTCATGCTTTTACTGTCCTATCACCCGTGTAATGGGGCTGTCCTACTAGTAAAGTGTTGTGCCACATGTCCAGTTTTACTACAATAACGTAAGTGCCAAATATAAACACCTCCATCGCTGGCGAGGATGTGCACGTTCTGCATGAGCCGAGCCGAGACCGCCTGGTGCGCTGCAGCGCGCACATGGTGCGAGTCAGATTCACTGTTTTGTTTGTCCCATATTAAAGCAAAGATGAATCTCCGTTTAATGTTTACCTCCTCGTCCTCACCAGGAGAACGGCACCATGTTCCAGGCACCAGGAAGAATATTTCAGTCAAAAGATTTTTATTTTGCTTTAACCCATGCTTTTATCACAATCATTTGCCCTGTGACTATCTCACAAACGAAACGTGCAATTAACAGTGTGTTAAAAATATTTAGATTAGGAAGTGCAGACTTGATAGATTTTTTTCTTGTCAAATATTTATTGATTCACAAATAGATGGTCTTAATGAGCATTTGAAGCTCATATTAGGCTTTGAGAAGTCAACCATTTTGCAACACATTTGCTGAAGAGCAGGCTTTGACAAGGCCTCGTCTTGTCCTCACTAGACACATCCATGTATTGTGGATTTGAATGTAGGCTAAGAATATTATGAAAGTAGACTGTATATTCAATCCACTTTTTTCATTGATTCTGACTCAACAACTTCTACGCTGTTCAGTTTTTCATTGCATTTACATTGTATTATAACTGTTTATTGGTAACATTCCACGGTAGCAGGAGGTAATTGCCGTCGCACATGGTTCTTGAATTTGAGGAAATTGGTACTGGAAAGTCTTTGAAAGGTCCTTGAATTTGATGTTGACCAAGGTGTGGGAACCCTGTCTACACTAATCTTTAACTTTGTATGTCTAAAAATGTCTGAATAATAAATTGTGCAGAGCAGACAGTGTCCGTACAAACACAGGAGCCAGGGAGAAATAAATCACACACACGACAGGCCCTGGAGCAGTGTGGTTATCCTGACTGGGCTTTCCTGAAAGCAGACAGGAAACACAGACAGGATTCCATGCAACCTTCAGGTGAAAATGAAGACCCCAAACCCAGACCCAAACCAGTGGTTATTCCGTATGCTGCGGGTGTTTCGGAGAAACTGAGACGTTTATTTTCTAAACATGATGTCCCAGTAGCTTTCAAACCCCAAAACACATTACTGCAAAGGCTGTTTCACCCCAAAGATCCGGTGCCCCGGCACAAACAGAGCAATGTTGTATATGCTGTTAAGTGCCAGGAGGACTGCGACCAGTTATATATCGGGGAAACAAAGCAACCACTGTTCAAAAGAATGTCCCAACACAGACGAGCTACATCTAATGGCCAGAACTCTGCAGTTTTCACTCATTTACAGGCCAGCGGTCACTCTTTCAGAGATGAGGATGTTCTCATTCTTGATAGAGAGGAACGTTGGTTTGAGAGAGGAGTAAAAGAAGCCATTTTTGTGAAGAAAGACCGTCCATCATTAAACAGAGGTGGAGGCCTCCGTTTTCAGTTGTCCCCCTCCTACAGCGCGGCAATTGCCAGTATCACTCCACCCCTGTTAATAATAAGTGTTAATTAGGTGTCAACGATAGCCATGTGATGTGAGTATCAGTCACATGGAGGCAGGGCTTAAAAGCCTGAATTTTGCCTGAAACTCTCAGACTGAAGAAGTCTCTTGGAGGAGAGACGAAACGTTTCATTAGAGAAGAACCCGTCCAGAGGACCTATACAATTTTTTTCTTTTTGATTTTTTTTTACCTGGATTACTGAGATGCATCAGGATAAATTGTGACTAGCATTCAACCTGTTTTAGACAATTCTTAGCTATAATCACACACAATCTCAGCTTAATATTCCTTAAAACAGCTGAATTAGAGGCATTTGTGATTAGCTGTGGCAGCCATCTTGAATTTTTGGCAGCTGCTTTCCTTTATTTGGATGTGCCCCCTTATAAAACACCATTGCCACCCCTTGCCAATAACTCTAGCTCTGCCCCTGATAATTTATGCACAATAGAAATATAATAAAATAAAACATTACGGCATTCAAATGATACTCTTATATATATTTATTATTTTAAAAAATATTGACAAAACAGTATAAATCTGAGTCATTAACTACACTTATCCAGGCCACCTGTCCCTCTTTATAAACAAGACATCATGTATTGAAACTACATGTGTATTTTTATCAGTTCTCACATTAAAGGTGACATTTCTATTCATACTCTTCTTCAGGCACACATGTTATGGAGGGCTCGGGCAAAATGGTGGTCACTGCTGTGGGTGTGAACTCGCAGACTGGGATCATCTTCACGCTGCTCGGTTCCACTGAAGACGGTGATGGAGACGGCGAGGACAAAAAGGACAAGAAGAAGGAGGACAAGAAAAACAAGGACAGAAAGGACAAGAAGAGTAAGTTGGAGGGAATTTGTTTCCAAAATAATTACAGCTGCCCTGAGGGGGAGAACGCGTTTGCTCATGGATGTGTTTGTTTGTCTGAAGCTAAATATCTCATGAAACGGTGGATGGAATTTATATTTTCTAAAGTATCCATTGGATGTACATTTACAACTAACTAATAACCTTTTAGAGTCAACCACAATTCAAGATGGCTGCCTCACCTTATCAACTTTAGCAAACAGAAAAATGACTAACTCAGGTAAATTTACAGATCTTGAATACAAACTTGGTGTGGGAGTCACTGAGTCTTTAACAGATTACTCATAGTCATTTAAATCTGTCCCTTCTCAACATAAGATGATCATAGATTAATAATCTTTTCAAATTCAAATTGTATTTATTCATTTCATTAAAAAAACAAACAAAACAAAACACATTACATACAACAAAACAATACAAATCAACTAAAATGAAAGGCAGAAGAAGAAAAAAATCTTGTGATACCTGCTCTTATTTACAACAAAAATTATATTAATTTCAAACAATAATAAACCAAATAATAAAAAACAAAACTTCAACTCCTCAAAGAGTAACTCATTCAAATACAAATTAAACAATTTCACATTTTTTTCAACAATTTTGCTTTGATCATTTTTAAAGGAATTAATTGACCCAATGCTTTTATAACCATTTTCCAGATTATTCCATAGTCTTATACCTTTCACTGAAGTGCATCTGTCCTTCAAATTTTTTCAAATTTTTGGTTTAATAAACATTTGTATTTCCTTCAAATTATAGCAGCTTTGCCTTTTAACAAAATTAGACTGGATGTTTGAAGGTAAAACGTTTTTGAGCTTTATACATAGCTTGCAGAATGTGATATTCAACCAACTCATAAAATTTTAATAATTTTTAACTGATGAAACAATGTATTAAATGGGTGATAGTAATGCTTTCTTGTGATAATTCTTATTGCTCTTTTTTTGTAAAATAAAAACAGGATTAGTAATTGTTTTACATGCATTTCCCCAGATCTGGCATGAAAGGCAGCATGCAAATTGCATTACTTAATTTATCCATGACGTAATAAAGTAACAGAGAAGCCTTTTGTATTTGTTCTATTGTTACCAATGCTTTATGACAGTACTGACGCTTCTGATTTAAGATCTTAAATATTGTCTCTATGCACTGATATATGCACCAGTGGCAGCTGGTGATGGGTTTTGTAGGGTGGTCTGACAGATGTATAGGTTTAAATTAAAACTGCAGATCGGATTCCAACAACAGGGATCCAAAAGATTTGTTTCTCAGCCTTTTCAGTGAAACCAGGTTTTACTGCTTTTCCTTTTTGCTTGATTTGAAAATCATTTGGTCTATCCACGTTAAGTAAAATTGCTGAGAAATTTAAAATTCCACCTCGTTTATGTTAATCTCGCTTGCCATCGAACCCACTCAATTTACACCAGACCACATGCACTCGCACTTGAGAGACCTTATTGTACGTCCACCCTTATTGGCTAAAACCTGTGGCCTTGGTCTGACCCTGGGCTGAACAAAATTAGCCCAGATGAGAAACAAACTGACTGGGTGGGACAAGACGTCTGTCAGTCATTCTGTAAAGACATTAAATGAACGGGGCTGTGAAAAGTCAGCCCTTTAAAGAGACTCTGGTACTTTCTCCACCGTTTGGCACAAGTTTGTAATAAATTTCACAAAATGTGATACAATACTTATAATTTGAGTTTATTAGGTACTTTATCATTTTTATTGTAAACACCAGGGCTTAGCCTATGCTAGCCCACTTATACCAGCCATACATGGATATAGCTGTCATCTGTGTATTGAAGAAAATCTTTGGTTATGGTACATGGGGATGGGTGAAACCCATGTGAGCGGAGGCCTCATAAGTGGGCCCATTACTCTCCCCAAAAGAGACACTGAGCTTTTAATCAAACCTTCGTGTCCCTCAAAAGAAGGACACCAGCTTAGAAACACTCTGTTCTAAGCTTCTCGGGATCCATAAAAGGTTCTCCAATAATTATTTCCCTTTGACTACTCAGGGCCAAGCATTGGCCCAAGTAGTGCAAAGAGGTCTCTGATTCAATGCCACAGGCATCGCACAGACAATTTTCATGGAGTCCCATCACCATTTTATGGCGGTTGAGCAAGTTGTGCCCAGTTAGGACTTCCTCGTCAGGGCAAGAAGGGCTCTTCCAAACCAAGGATTTGGGCCATTTATCAGTTCTCGTGCCTGTCTACAATCCATCGGCTCCCTCCAGTGGATTGAGTGTTGACATCTGATCCACGCCTGTAGGGCAGTCCTACAGATTGTTGTTGAAACGCCCATAGCAGGCTCTGGTCCTTTAAAGTGAGCTTGACTACCAGCTCTTGCAAGGTGGTCAGCTCTCTCGTTACCATATGTAGGAGTTTTGGGTATATTAATCTGATACTTTATGGATTATTAAAATACATAAATTATATTCCTTGAGGCACCACGCTCTGAATTTGGTCAAGAATTAACCCAGGAAAGTGACGAAAAACTGTAACTTTACCATAATCAGTCTCACAATAAACCAGTACCCAAAATTAACGATGAGTTCTTTTCTTATCAAGTCAATAAAATTTTTTCAAGACACAAAGGGAGACATTAGCTTATGTTGACCCGCTCTCCACATGCCATTTATTTACAGATTAAATGTATTTACAGGCTATGGCAGATGTGGGATGATATGTTGAACCAGGTAAATACTGAAATATTTGAGCAATGACCAGTGAACACATAAACAAAAATATAAAAACAAACAAATAAACACGAAAGGGGTTTGAGGCGGAAATGATGGGAGGTTTTCTTAAGATGAGAATTTAAACTAGGTCCTAGTTTAATTCACTTAACTAAGGGTAAAGTTTAGATTTATCAAGCTCATACAAAGATAAGGATCAACTTAACTGAGCATCTGAGCACCGTTGTTGTCACCAGCGAATTGTTTTATTTTGCCTACCCTTTGTTTCTGCTGTGTGGGTAGCAGGAGTAAAATCAGCAACTGAGGGTTGACTCTGGGTGTTGGCCCCCAGAGGAGAATCCGTCATCCAAGCTGGCTGCCAGGCGACCGGGAGAGGGTGCCTGTCTCGACTGGTCCGTTTAGTCAGAGAACGGGGTGACCGTCTGGTGAAGGTGGGGAGAGCTTGTCTCTCTGTTGGATGCTTCAGAGTGGTGGAGATACAAAGTTGATCCAGGCTTCGTAGAGAGAAGCGGATTAAACGACGCACAGAGTTAAAATTAGCTTATTTTACTTGCTATAAAAATCAAGCTCGTGCTGAGCCGACGAGATAACATTAAACTAGTTTCTAATGAAACGACATTAAAACGATGATGAGGAGTCCAGCCTGGGGGGAGGTGCCCCTATCTTACCCTATCTTTTTTACCCTATCTTTTTCCTTCTTTTTCACATTTAATGAAGAATGTAGTTCTTTGATCTCAGTCAAGCTGAGGGGAGTCTGGAATTTACGATCCTTTTGAGGAGAACAAGGTCTTTAAGATCAAACGGGCTTGTGGGGTTCGGAACAGGAAGTAATTTCAGTAAGGAGGTGACAGTTCTGCCAGATCTCTTGCTGAGACGTGGTCGCCAAGTCTGGGTCTCTTCCAGAGTATTCTGATAAGCACACACACATTGCCTGTGAAAGTCAAAGTTCAACAGAGTGGTTTCTCCTCTCGGAGCTGTTGTCATAGAAACGATTGAAATCTGATCAGAAATGATAATTTCACAGTAGGAAGGGCCTACACATAGATGCCAGTATGTCCTGGTACCCATTTAATAGTAACACTGTTAACTCTCCCCAGTTGGTTGACTGCTTCAGCACACTCCCAAGCCTGTAGTGACGTAAAGTGTGGCCCTTGGAGAGCTTTAATAGCAGCTTGGCTATCTGTCAGGATGAATATTTCCTTCTGCATACACAGCAGTTCTTTGAGAGATGCCGCACATTGGTGGATTGCATATATCTCAGCTTGAGATAACTTTTTTATTGAGATGAAACCAAGTTTGTATTTTAACAAATTCTATCTGCATCATCCCCATCCCCGTTAGTAGAGACCAGAGGCTGGTGGCTGGAGCCTGTTAGTAGACATGTTTGTGACTTCTGTCTCTATGTCTTGCACAGTTTTAATCCTTCCACCCCTCAGCCCAGATAGATTGTTAATAAACACATTCCAATTGTTTTTTTTTTTTTTTTTTTTTTTTTTCTGTAAGTGAACAAAATGACACATTTGTCATATTTTTATCCGTTGTATCTCTTTGTGCTGTCTTGTTGCAGAGTTATGGTGACGTCTTCTTTTTTTTTTTTTTTTTTTTTTGTTTCTGTAAGTGACTGGGTGTGGTTTCGCCATCTTCAGCTTAAACTGAATACATCGATGGTCTGACAATGGTTTGCTCTGGGGACACTTCCCAGTCACATATGCTGTTTACCAAGTTCATAGACCTGACTGTTATATCAATGACCTCCTTCCTGTTAACGGTTTGGAAGGTAGGTACATTGTCCTGTTTAAAAACTTGCAGATCATCTGTCTGCAAGTATTCTAACAGAGATCTGCCTCTGGGGTTAATATCAGAGCTCCCCCAGCACACATGATGGGAGTTGGCATCACAGCCTATAAGTACAGAGAAGCCCTTAGCTTTAGCATAATCGACTATCGCCATAAACTCCTGTGATGGAGGTGGCTGCTGTGAATCAAATGGCAGATAAATAGAAGCTGCAATAATTTGTCTGGATTCACCATTTGACTAAATATTCAGCTGCACTGCTACAGCATCACCTGTTAGGTGGGGCAGTGCAGTGTATCTTACACCTCCTGTCAGGGCTACTGCTGCTCTGGGCCTTTGGCTGCTCACATCATAAAGAAGTGAGCCCCCAGGAAATCCCAGGCCTCTTACCATAGATTTTACAATCCAAGGTTCTTGGATGAAGGCTATGTCTTTATGCATCCTGCTAAGGCAAGTACACAGCAATGTACTGGCATCTTTACAGTGATGCAAGTTGTTCTGAATGAATTCCATCATCCCCACAGCCACAAAGACTGGGAGGTAGGATAGGATTCACTACTTGGCCTCACTAATTGCTTTGCCACTGACCTTAAAGGTCAGCCGGCTCAGCTCATAGTATGGCCTATTCCCCAGATCTGCTAAGACATCTAGAGACTTGTCGTCCACGTCGAGAAGCAGAAACTGACCAGTAGTCTGCCACTCAACATGAACTACCCTCCAGACAACTGTCTGCAGTCCCGGGTTCTGTCTCCTGAGTCGGCGCAGAACCATTTGGGGTTCTGCAGGTTCCCCAGGCACAAACACACCAACTCTCTTAAGAACTGGGAGGTCCCGGACTCTCTTGGCAGAGAATCCATGGCCCTCCCAACTAGGGATCTGGGAGACAGCACACACGAGCCATTCCATAGCTGGTTTGTCTGCGCAGGTCACACAAAAGGCACCCTGCACAAGACCTGACTCACTGAACKGTGGCACCGGATGGTCATCCGGGACCTGGTCAATGAGCCCCACCAGGCTGGCCTGCACATGTTCACTTTCCTCTTTTTTTTTCTCAGAGGTCTTTGTGGGTCATCATCTAGAACAGGGGTGTCAAACTCCAGTCCTCGAGGGCCGCTATCCTGCATGTTTTAGAGCTTTTCCAGCTCCAACACACCTGATTCAGTGATTGAATTAACTCTTCAAATTGGGCAGAAGCCTGTTAATCACCCAACGATCAAAATCAGTTGTGTTGGAGCAAGAAAACCTCTAAAACATGCAGGATAGCGGCCCTCGAGGACAGGAGTTTGACACCCCTGATCTAGAAAGATGATAACCTGCAGGTTCCCATCAGCAACCAGTGCTATTGAAGGCCTGTTGCGGTGTTTTTTTGGGACCTTTGCACTCCCTGGAGTCGAGGCTGTAGCCCTCTTCCTCTTACGAGAAGAAGGCCTCACTCCATCTCCAGCACTGTTTTTAGATGTGCTGGGTTTAGGGTGGTCAGCTCCCGACCCTTTAGAAGGCTCATTCACCGACTCCCCTTTCCCAGCCGCCAAACAAGAAGAGGGTTTCTTCTTTTTCCTCTTCTTATTCTTCCTCTTTATCTTATGGCCTTGGAGAGAGATCCTCTAGATGTCCCAAGAGTATATCTACCCCCTTGACCAATCTTCCATCAGAGGACCCCAGCAGCATGTCAAGTTCAAGTTTATTTATATAGCGCCAAATCACAACATACGCTGTCTCAGGGCACTGTACATAAAAAGAACAATCTAAAGAAGAAACCAGCAGGCTGCTTTGACTCACTTCATCACAGTCTCCCATCCTGAGCAAACGGTGGAGAGGTAAAATTCCCTGCTAATCAGGAAGAAACCTTCAGCAGAACCAGGCTCAGGGCAGGTGGCCATCTATCTCGACCTGTCCTCGTCATTTGAAGACCCCAGCACTTGTGCAACCCTGACCGCTCCCCAATGAGATGCAGTCAAGGGGCTACCCTCGTGCTGAGTACTGCTGGTAGACCCAGCATCAGCAGAGGCAGAAGCCCTCACTGTCACCGAGATCCCAGGCACTAAGTCCTCTGGTTGTCCAGAGCCCAACACGTGAGCATCAGGCTCTGAAGCCAGAGTAGGAGTTGTTCCAGTCACTCTACTGGCCTGCCCAGCCTGGTTCCCCACCAGACAGACCAGAGGCATGGTCTTAAGACCACCCGTGGCACCCGCACCCAAGGCGCCACAGGCTGGGTCCACAGAGATTTTAGAATCCCCTTTTGCTGGGAACTGAGGGCTGGTCCCTTTTCCGCTCATGTTTTAAAACTGTGTCAACTTGCCATCCACCAGGGATGGACGGGTAATGAGTGTTGACAATGCCCCAGTTTTAATTCAGATTTTTCCTTCTCTTAGGCAGGTTGCCTGTCAAGGCTAACGAACCTCACCTACCTGACTGCTTTTGGTTCACGGCACCCTATTCGCCTTTCAGCTTATTCAGGCACACCCCTACATAGCAGGGATCCCCTATCCACCACCTGGGGGACGCGCCTCTACGCAGTGCAGCCTCAGCGCGAGGGAAGAAAATCTGAAAACGCTGTTGGCTAAATTTGCTTTTCAATCCTTTTTTAAACTTCAGATTAAATCTCCTAATCCAGTGAGCTAGTTGGTGTCACAGTTAGGTTTATTACATTTATTTAACTTGTTATTAAGCGTCTCACTGAATAATAAAATATGTTTTTTAAGAAGAGGGATACTATTATCACAGATGGTTTGGTCCCACAAAAACTGTGGATTGAAATCTACTTTATTTAGAAAAGTTAAATTGTGATATTTTATTTTTGTTTTCTTTCACTTGTGTCAGTCACTGTAATCTGTTCTGATTACAGGTAAAAAAGAAGACAAAAGTAAAAAAGGTAGGCGGAGCATCACTGTCGCATGTCATCAGTGTGAGTTTTCTGTCTGTCTGGATGTTTTTATTACCTGAAACCATGAAAGACAGGTGATCGTGAAATTTCTTTTGTGTGTGTGTGTGTGTGTGTGTGTGGGGGGGGGGGGTTCATTTGTTTGTCATTAACATAAACAACTTAGTGAAATTTTAATAAAACTCATTCATTGGATGCACACACAGAACTGATTCTCTCCCAGGGTCAACTCCCAGACCAAAAAATGATAACAACTCAGTTTGTTTCATAAATATTTTAGACGCAAAGCAGCCAGGAGCCCAGGCCTACTCGGAGTGATAGTGCTAAGGCCAAGCCCCTAGTTCACCATCAACCCATTCATGTTTCTTTCTCTTCGGACAATGATACACTCGCTGAGAAAAAGACTGATTATCGGCACCTCCATAGTCCGAAACGTGGCACCAGTGACTCCAGCGACGACAGTCAAATGCATACTGGCAGGCCAGAGTGGGCGACATTGAATCCAACCTGAAACTGCTAAACAAAGCTAATGCTAAAGTATCATAAGATTGTTATTCACTCGGTTATGCCAATCAGTGGTGACTAAAATTAGTGTTGCTTCAGTGTGTAACTTTGCAAAGACTGTCAAACTCCATTTTGGCTGGAGCCGCTCTTTCCCGAGTTATTTCTTAGTTCTGCTGCTACCTGTCCCCTCTGACCCTAACCAGTCGAGGCAGACTGCTTCTCATCCTGAGCCTGGTTCTGGTTCTGCTGGAGGTTTCTTCCTGGGCGCTCTATAAATAAACTGAACTGAACTGACCTGCTTAAACATCCATAGCATCACAGCTCTTTAAATCATCACCTTCCAGTTCAGTTTAAGACTGAGTGAGTTCTGATTGTTTTACTGCTTAGTGTCTTGAACGTTGAAGTAGAGTTCAGGATGATGCGCACTGACGAAAGCTTCAATCAGCCCAAAGAAATGACACTGCTTTACGGGTGCTGGTTCCAACTGCAGTCCTGGTTCTTCTCATGTTTTTACTGCTTCTTGGCAGGTTGTCCTGGTTCTGTGTGGCCTGAGCAGCAGCAGGTGCTCCTGACTCTGTTGATGGTGATTAGGACCAAGCAGATTATCAGCCTTAAGCTTGGCAGCTGCTTCTTCTCCTGCCTGCTGCTTCCTGCCTGCCTGCCTGTCTGCTAATAACCTCATTACAGAGATGGGATCGGGACATGCACACGCACACATACCTGCAGATACCCCCACTCCATGTCACAAATCAGAGCAGTTGACTCGTCTGCTGGTTTAAATCATGACAGGATGAGAACAACATCCTGTCATCAGATACTTGAGTTAATAAGCTATCACCTGCAGTAGAGATGTGAAGGCGGACTGTGTGTGTGTGTGTGTGTGTGTGTGTGTGTGTGTGTGTGTGTGTGTGTGTTTGTCTAATGATTGCAGACATTAAAGTTTATGCTTTCAGGTGCAGAAAAATAATTATGCTCTCTTTAAATGACGTACAGGGATGTAAAAGTCCTTTATTTGAGACCAGATGACCCATCAGTACATGTACTGTATATACAGTGGCACCTGCAGAATTTTTTTCCGGGGGCATGGAGGGGGCCATTGAAAAACTAGGGGTGGCACACCAAAACTAAAATCCATAGCAAAGATTTTTTTTGACGTTATGGCAATATAAGAGTTCAAGATTTACCAACAGATGTTCAGTTTGTTATTTTACAGATAATTTTACTGATTATGTGACATCCAGAGACCAGAAACAAGAACATAAACTATCTGGAATTTCCCACATGGCCGCCCCCGGTGGCACCCCTGTGTGTATATGCATGTCTTAACTGAACTGTCTGTGTCTCAGGGAAAGAGGACGGACACAAAACAGATGGAGCCGCCACGGAGGTACAGCCGCTCAATGAGGACGGAGAACTGCAGAAGAAGAAGAAAAACCTCCCGAAGAAAGAGAAATCAGTCCTGCAGGGGAAGCTGACCAAACTGGCTGTGCAGATTGGCAAAGCAGGTAAAATCAGAAATTATTTTCAGTTTGTGATTGAAAATGTAATTGAAAGTCATACTTTATTTTGCTCATATGCTAGAAAAATCATCTTTCTTTCTTCTTAAACTGGAATGTCCATGATTTACATGATCTCCTCAGATCTTAAATAATTTCACTTTATTAAGATTCTCAAGGTAGAAAATCAGTCACAAGAACTTAAAAACAAGAAAAAAATGTAATTGTTTGAAAGAACAGTGTCCAACAACCAAACTCATCTTTGTTTGATTCAGCAGATGATTTTTGAATCGATGCTCTGTCAGATATCTGTAAGTAGTCAGTGTCCTCTGAGCAGTATTATCAGTCACAGAACATGAGTATGGAGATGAGCTGAAGGAGGGATGATGGTGCTGAAGCTGTGAATTAATACAGAGTCGGGAAGATGTTCCAAGAAATAAAGAGCTAGCATGAAGGCTAAAACATGTTATCAGCAAAAAGATAAAAAATAAACAGATCTCTACATCCATACTTGGGCTTTTATTTCAGAAATTAAAAAAATATACAGTGGTTTGCAAAAGTATTCATACCCCTTGAACTTTTCCATATTTTGTCACATTACAACCACAAACATAAATATATTTCAC